GCAATTTCACAGTAGCATACACTGTTCCTGTGATTTGATCAAGTAAAATATACTTATAAGAATCTAAATGTATTTGATTATTTATTTGATTGGTGATATTACAAATCTTTTAATATCACAGATTGGAATACATTGATAATTTAACCACATAAATTTAGATTTAACAAGATCACCAAAACAATAAAATTCTTTTATTCATTATAATAACTATGTATAAATTACCGTATATACACTGTACACACTGCAGTTAATTTTTTTTTACATTTGCAAAAGAAGTCTTTTTTGCTTAACAAGTCTGCATTTATTTAATCAAAAATGCAGTAAACTAGTAAAATGTATATTGTGAAATATTATAACGATTTAAAATAACAGTTTTATATATGTGACCCTGGACCACAAAACCAGTCTTAAGTCGCTTGGGTATATTTGTAGCAATAGCCATAAAAACATTGTATGGGTCAAAATTATCGATTTTTCTTTTATGCCAAAAATCATTAGGATATTAGGTAAAGATCATGTTCCATGAAGATATTTTGTACATTTCCTACCGTAAATATATCAAAACTGAATTTTTGATTAGTAATATGCATTGCTAAGAACTTCATTTGGACAACTTTAAAGGCGATTTTCTCAGTACTTTGATTTTTTTTGCACCCTCAGATTCCAGATTTTCAAATAGTTGTATCTCGGCCAAATATTGTCCTATCCTAACAAACCACACATCAATGGAAAGCTTGTTTAATCAGCCTTCAAATTATGTATAAATCTCAATTTCGAGAATCAGACCCTTATGACTGGTTTTGTGGTCCAAGGTCACATATATATATTTATAGGTTTAATAAGAGAACTGAGAGCTGTTACACTGTGTGCTTTGTACTGTATGTCAGGGTGCCTGATATGGTACCTAATAGAAAATGTCTCTTTAAAAAGTAATGAGGAAGGGCATTTGAACAGTTTGAATAGGTTATATAAATTGTTGGAAACCTTGAAAACTTCCATGAGCTCTCATTATATGTATGTATGCATCTCAATAAATTAGAATGTCGTGGAAAAGTTCATTTATTTCAGTAATTCAACTCAAATTGTGAAACTCGTGTATTAAATAAATTCAATGCACACAGACTGAAGTAGTTTAAGTCTTTGGTTCTTTTAATTGTGATGATTTTGGCTCACATTTAACAAAAACCCACCAATCTCAACAAATTAGAATACTTCATAAGACCAATAAAAAAAACAAATTTTTAGTGAATTGTTGGCCTTCTGGAAAGTATGTTCATTTACTGTACATGTACTCAATACTTGGTAGGGGCTCCTTTTGGTTTAATTACTGCCTCAATTCGGCGTGGCATGAAGGTGATCAGTTTGTGGCACTGCTGAGGTGGTGTGGAAGCCCAGGTTTCTTTGACAGTGGCCTCAGCTCATTAATTAATAAATCCTCTAATTTTCCTCCTGACAATACCCCATAGATTCTCTATGGGGTTTTTTTAAATATATTTTTGGATGTCTTTGATGTTACCCCTTATTACATTAATACCACAGAGACATGCCTCAGAGACATGCATTCATGTGCTGAGGCCTTACAGAAGTGAACAGCACTTGCATTCAATTTAGCATTATAAAAAAGACAATACGTGATGTTTAATGATCACCCTCTCTGTCACTTTTAGAGATGTGTCTGGTGGACTTGACTCGAGTTCTCTGAGTCCTCAGTACAGGAAGGGTGCCCGTCCAGTGCCTACTACTGTGCCTGACTGCAGTGACTGCCATGAGCTGGAAACCCTCATGCCCTCTAGTGCACAAGACCCCAACAAACCCCTCACAGACCTCACTGAGGAACAGAGTCTCATGGCTAACATAGGAGGCGCTGATGATGCCCCTGCAGAATCCATGGTGAGCTTTGCTGTATACTGTAGTTAACTGTGCCAGCACCAACAGTACAATATTTTGATGTGCCATAGAACCATTTGCCCAACCATGCATCCTTGTTGGTCTTGGAAAAAAAGATGTTGATCTATGAAAATGCTTTCATCTTTTAGTATTTTCAGTCTTTCAGTTTACTCTTTCTGCTCTAAACACAGCCAGCCTGGAATGGATCTGTTAGTCGGAACTGGGCCAATAGGATCACCAGATACAGAGATACTATAACTGAAGATTCTTCTGCTCTCATCAATGGAGCTCTTGAAGGACCACCATCAGACAACAGTAAGGTGAGCCAAAGGAGTGTCGAAACGCCTGTAAATGATGGTGTGTGACTAAGGCAGTACAGAAATACAGAAGTCGCATAACAGATTTTTGGATCTTTATCTTACGAAATGTGCATTATCCTTGCACATCTGCTTGTGTGTTTATGAATGTGTGTGATGGGGCTGATAGATTGTGCCTCACACAAACGGGAAATGTACAGACAAAGTAATTACCATTAAGCAGACAGTGGGGAAGACACACAGCTAATTAGTATGTGACATTTGAAATGAAAAGCTGAAGTCTGCATACCATTTACCAATTACTGTCCTTCCGAAAGCTCCTCAGATATGGTGGAGCAGCAGGAAGCTAATACATAAAATTACACCTTTATCTGTCTCTCCTCCTCATAGTATCATGGTTTTATTTCCCTGTTGACATTTTTTTTAATCAGTTTTTTCACTTCTTATGATGAAATAGTGCTGAACTGTACTGCACAAATTCAATAACATTTTAGTTTGTAATCATTCACCTTCCAGACTCACAATGTCCAATTTTCACCCTATAATTCAGTGTTTATTTTAGACCTGTCAATTTAACACATTGATTTAGTGAAATTAATTATTGAAGAAGAAAAATGTTTTATTGAACTACAAAAAAGAAATACATTCAACTTGACATGGTGTCTTAAATAGGTGACATAGGTGTAAGAAATTGGAAAAACACAACAAATTACTTAATTAATAATAATAATTAATTATTATTAATATTCATATTATTATTTATTTTTGGTTAATAAAAAATTCTAAAATTCTAACAATTATATACACTACCATTCAAAAAAACAAGTCAATACATATATTTAGTAAGGATGCATAAAACTGATTAAAAGTGACTGTTTAAAGATGCTGTTCTTCTGCTGTACTTTCTGTTCATTAAAGAATCCTGAGAAAAGAAATGTATATTAGGTAGCTGTTTTCTGAATCGTTTTCAACGTTGTTTTGAGCTTTGCCATCACAGGAATAAATGACATTTTAAAATATATTCAAAAAACAAAAAAAGGACATAGTGTAGTGCCCACTAAACACCAGCTTAACTAATATTTTATTCAATAGTCCAATAAAATATTGTTTTCAAGAATACAATCATTTATTTCAGAGATATAAAAAATATTATCTCAAGTAAGTGTATTTTTCCTTACCTCTCAGGCAGAGTCGGGTAGGTGGTAGTATGTTTCCAATACATTCTTGTTCTCTCTCAACAATGCTCTAACATCACACACAGATGGCAACGCAATCTTGCTAAGCTGCATCCTATCTGCACCTCTTCTGCTGCATCTCTGTCATTTTCTGTGGGTCTCTGGAATTGTCAGTCAACTGTCAACAAACTTCATTCTGGCCATTGCTTCTCAGTCTACTCTTAGTATCTTGGGCTTGACTGAGACCTGGATTCGTCCAGAAGACTCCGCAACCCCTGCTGTTCTCTTCCCTTTCTCTCACACCCACCGTCAGGTTGGAAGGGTACTGGTCTTCTTATTTCTAATAATTGGAAATACTCAACCCACTCTTCCCTATGCAATAAAAAGTCTTTTGAGTTTCATGCTATTATGGTAACAGATCCTGTTAAATTCCATATTGTAATGATTTATCACCTTCCTGGTCAACTGGGCACCTTTATAGAGGAGCTGTATGGGCTGCAGTCCTCATTCTCTGTGTAGTCTTTGGTGACTTCGAAATCCATCTGGAGAAGCCTTACACTGCAGACTTCCACTTCCACTCCTAGCGTCATTCGATCTCAAATGGCTTACCACCACAAGCACTAACAAATCAGGCAACCAGCTTGACTTAATTTACACATGCAATTGTATCACAGATAACATTTGGTAAAACCTCTAGACATCTCTGATCATTTCTTTATTACATTTAACCTACATATTATTACCTGTGTGCCACCAATTCCTCTACCAGTTACTTTTAGGCAAATCCTATGCTCTTTTTCACCCTTCCATCTTGCCTCTGTAGTGTCATCCTCTCTTCCCTCACCCACCCATTTCTCATCTCTGGATGTAAATACAGCAACTGACACTTTATGATCCACTTTAACTTCTTGTCAAGACAATATCTGTCTAGACAGGCCAGTGCATAATACCACTTCTAACCTAAAAAGTTGCCCCATGTGTCATCATATTTACTGTATTTTTGCTGAGCAGTATTTTGGGTGGCTCACCAATGTACTAGTAAATCTTCTGTAAAAAATTAAGTAGGCTTGACCAAAATATTTGTAGGGAGAATAATTTATTGAAGATGGTAGTGTAGCAGTTCTTCAGTAGCGAAGTTAGCATGTATTCCTTCAAACAATTTTACCCTTGTATGAATTCTAGCTTGTCCCAAAGTTCTGTCTGTGGGATGTAATTTTATACCTGAAGACAAAAGGGCTAGAAACAATACTGTTAGGACCTTCCCGCTGGAGATCCTGCAATCTACAAGACGTTCCTGAGGAATGCTGTTCTTATTCTGCTCGATCTGTCTGCCACTTTTGACACTGTGAATCATCAGATTATCCTGTCTGCCATCACCGAATCTGCACTCCACTGGTTTGAATCTTATCTCACAGGTAGGTCTTTCAGGGTTTCCTGGGGAGGAGAGGTATCCAAAGAACATCAACTGGCTACAGGGTTTCCTCTGGGATCAGTTCTTGGACCCCTCCTCTTCACCATATACCCTACATCACTGGGACCCATTATACAAGCACATGGTTTCTCCTACCATTGCTATGCTGATGACACACAGCTCTATCATTCATGTCAATCAGACAATCCAATAGTAGCTGCATGGATCTCAGGCTGCCTGGCAAACATCTCGGCACGGATGAAGGAACACCTGCAGCTCAACCTGGCAAAGACTGAGCTTCTTGTTTTCCCTGCCAATTTGACTCTACAGCATGATTTCATCATCCTGCTAGGTTCATCAAAAACTATTATTTGGTGACCAGCTGACCTTCAAGGACCATATTGTAAAGACCGCTCGATCATGCAGGTTTGCATTGCACAACACCAGGAGGATCAGGCCCTTCCAAACAGAGCATGCTGCACAACTTCTTGACAGGCCCTTGTCATTTCTAGGCTGGACTATTGAAATGCTCTTCTAGCTGGACTTCCATCATGCTCAATCAAACCTCGACAAATGTTTCAGTATGCAGTGGCACGACAGGTCTTCCATGAGCCCAAAAGGGCCCACTTCACACCGCTCTTTATCTCTCTGCACTGGCTACCGGTTGCCGCTCGCATCAAGTTCAAGACATTGATATTTGCGTACAGAACAAGCAGCAACCATCCGGTCTCTCTCGTGAAACCAACACGGAAGTGACTAAAACTGCAATTCATCGACTGGCCGCTAGAAGCTGGCTCCAAAAGGGAGTCAGTCCCATAGACTGCCCATGTTAAAATGCCCAACTTTACAGCAGAAAAAAATATGTTTACAGCCTGGTACAAAAAGTGGTTTTGGTCTATATAGCTAATTTTGCCCTTTATGACAACTGTGAGGGGGTGAATTTTTTTATAACTCATCCGTTTAAATTATATTAAGCCTTAAAGTTCTGCATAATTAAGTGTGTGGCCACTTGAGTGACAGGTGGATTGCCTCTGCTGTCACCACTGTCAAGCTAGGTGGGCGTGGTTTCAGCAACCAGTTCCCGCCTCTTTGCCCATTTTCAATTATCTGGGAGTGACGCGCTGCCAAGATGGCTACGGCCGGCTCCGCCTACTTTAGAGGTTTGGCATTCATTTAATTCTACCCCAACTTAAAGTAACATTAAAACCCGAACATGCATTTCTGACAAGCAAAATGCCACTTTTAATGTAAAATCAGGAAAATGGGAGTGCCGTAAACTGTCAAATACATGATATCCAACCAGCTTACCTCATCTTTTGTGGTCAAAACGGATACATCCACATAAGCAGCGTGCATGTGATAGGATGTCCGCTGAATATGCTGCTTTAGCAAATCGCGCTGATGTTCAATGTATCTTTAAAGTAGATCTTCACTTAATAGCATGAAGAGCAAATATTGACACGGACTGAGATCGATTTAAACTCTCTTCGATACAGACACACTCTGTGACTCTGTGCGTGTTATTGTTTTCATGTTTAAGATACGAGCAAGAATGCAAATTTACATGAATATCCAAATGATGGCAAATGTGGCATTCATTTTTTACAACAGTTCAACAAAAAATGTAATATTAAGTGAACATTTTACATTTTAAATGTAGCCTACATTTTAAACAGAATATTGTCATGTTTGTTCTATTTTGCAACGAAATAGTTCCAACGAAATATCATCTGGTGTGTGTCTCCAGGCAACAGCGGTGTTTCATTAGTGAATTAATCTGATGCTTTTAATGATTTGGAGAGTGATAAATAACCCATTCATAACTACAGCATTTTGCTTCGTTACTGAATGAATGACACGATGCCTGGCTCATTAAGACCGCGACTTGCCGCCATCTATGGCAGTTTTATTTTTAAATCTACAAGTATCACTTCAATTTGCCATCATTTATTGCTTTATTTATTATATTAATAATACACTTAATGGAATGTTAAGAATATGATATAAAACATGACATACAATTAATAAGAATAGAAAATATTTGCCTCTATAAAGGTAAAGAAATGCATCTGTAAATCAATTTAAGGGGGCAAATATTGTCCTTTAATAGAAAAGGTGTGACTGTGGTCTTAAGTGGAAGAGAGTGGGTACGCAGAAGAATGTTAAATGCCCCAGGGGTACGCCGCTGTAAAAAGTTTGAGAACCACTGGTCTATAGTACAGAACAGCCACAAGCTCAGCACCCTCCTACATCCTCCTCACTCTTACAAATCTACATCCCCTCCAAAAGCCTGAGTAAGTAAGTAAGTAAGTAAGCATTGCCTTGTGGTAACAGCACAGAGAGGCATTTTCATTCACCTTTCCTGGCTGGTGAAATGATCTTCCCACAATCGCAGTAATTAACAGAACACCCGACAC